TTAACAGAAAGACTTCCCTGGCGGCGATGATAAAATACGAACACGGAGCCAACAGATGAGGTTTCAACTGGTACTGGTATTATTATTATACTCTGCAAACATCAAGTACAATAACGCGGTAAAACTCCACTACTCCAATAATTAGATACTTAAACTCCAATACAATTCAACGAGATCTCCGATCTGAAATCAGTGCTGAACAACTCCCCTGTATATACCCACACTGTCTATAAATAGACCATTACATCAGCATACATAATGAGTCTGGAACTTACTACCAATTTCTAGAATGTTCCATTACCTTCTATTGCCTCCTACAGTGTTCTATTACCTATTCAACCAGTTTCTAAACAAAATCTAGAATATTCCACCCAGACACAGTACGGTTCTAGAACATCTCAGTGACACGGAAGTGGTACATAAGTCGTATGCGACACCCACATACAACAAAATTATTTACTCGGAAATTGTAATGAGATAAAATAGCGAACATTTATTGTGATTTTTTTTAAAACATACAGTATTCAAGGCGGCTGTGACCAGTCCAGTCAACTTTGCCTTCCAAGACTTATATTGATCAGCTTGTGCAATACAATGCCAAGGTTATTAAGTCACAATTTTTGAGATAATGCTTAAAATATATATTGTAAAAGTGTGTGACACCATGGCAAGACGGATTTGCCATAGAATGCGATTGATATGCAATTATGTGTTGTATTACATCTTTAAGTTAGTTGATACAGAAATAATCGTTGATCCTGTTACAATATTCATCATATTATAGGGACTTTACAGGGGCAAGTGATACATTTGAAGAGATATTGCTGCAACATCCAACTGATGCATTGGCTTTTCGGTTTGCTCTGGACTGTTATTTCTATCGAGGTGAAATGGCACAGTACAGAGATTGTGCTGCACGTGTCATGCCCTACTGGAAGTCAGGGAAAGTATCGCAAAGCATGTACGGGTAAGTGTAAAACACAATGCACTTGAAGTGTACTTTCAGATGCTTCCTCTTGGAAATCAACAAACGCATGGCTTTTTATATTCGACATTAGAGGCGATTCACACCTTTGGTCCAGTTTCATTCAAATAATAATTATACATAACGCTAAACGGATTTACGGGACTGTGCGGTATCCATTTATAGTGAAAAAACGCTAACCCAAATGCAAGTATTCGTACTATTTGTCCTTTAGTACACGTTTGCAATTCGACTAATCTCTTTAGTCATTGATATGAATTTTGACTACCTTAAAATATTTTGTTGATCTTTGATTTAATCTGATATGTCCATCTCTCCGTCAATATAGCCATAGCCCATATTGTCAAATTATTTGTTATATTGTATATATGTGAACTAACGTGCAAGTGATTTCGAAGCTACAGCACTTTCTTTCTTGATACGTACATTTTTTCACTTCATGATATCATCAGTTATTGTATTGCATTCATATTCTGCAAATTTCAATAGATATTTTGACTGTTTGTACATTTTTGAAAGGATCATCCTAAACTAGATGCTTTTTTATTTTATGCCAGGTATTTGAAGAGCTTGTATGCTTTTGGATTAGAAGAGACTAACTTCTTCGATGAGGCGGAAAAAGAATCTCTACAGGTACAATTTCACCATATATATATATATATATATATATATATATATAAGCTAGAATTTTATTGAAAGCTTGTGAAATAGCCGTATTATCTTCATGCATTTCATATTCCCGCTATAAATTGGCTAGCCATACAATAAGAATGTATCCAAATAATATTTAGATAGAATTTTCAAGTCAAAGAACATAAAACAAATGACTGACACATAATTAACACGTTACACCACGATCATACACAACTTACAATGACAAAACAAAACGAATATGCCACATTAGCTATTCAAATCAGTCACTGCTGATTTAACTCACGATTTAGTGTTTTTTTTTGCAGTCATTAGAACTGAATTCTCGTGATGGCTGGGCTACCCATACAATAGCACATGTAATGGAGATGCAATGTAGATACGATGAAGGTATACGCTATCTTAATGACACAGCTCATAATGGTCAGGTAATTAACTTAAATGTTGCTGAATTTGTATTTATAAATGAAATTAATTGTATTCACCAGAATCATTTGGTATAATATGTATGTGTACTCTGATATTCATTAAATTGTAAGCATTTTTTCCATAATTAGAATGTTGCCTAGTAACAATTGATATTATCTATTTCATTTTCAGAAACACTTTTTTGAGGGTCACATATATTGGCATTTGGGCCTGTATTATATTGAAAAGGTATGAAACTGATTATTCTAATGAATTCCAATAACCGCCTGAAGCATATTTACCAAAATTCTGATCTTAACAGTTTATAACATATTACTGTATGTTCACAAACTTATAAATTGAGTTTATCATCGGATTCGAAACTCAAACTATGATTTTTTTATATACCAAATATTTGGAGTCTTTGCCTCCATTGGCAGGGAAATTGGAAGTGCAGCTTGCATTGACCAAATTTCTCCCATCCAGCAGTGTTGTGCGGTCACATCAGGGGAGTACACGACATCGTTGCTGACTCTCAGGCCAAAATCACCACTGTGTTGTTTGAGCTTTGTCAATTTGTTGCAGATTGGTACAAAATATAATGATTACATCCCTTACCTTATACAATGACACTGAATGTGAACCCCCACTTCTGTTGTCTCTGCTAATTTACCACCAATATGCTTCGTTCAATCACCCGGACCTGATGTCATATTCATTGGAGTAGTTCCATCTTCACACTTCACGCAGGCTAACCTCATGCTTAGAGCGGCACTTGTTTTTCAAACAGACACTTGATGTGTGATTCCCTTTAACAGAGATCAATCTGGCTGCACAGAGTGACTTGGGGTGACCTTTGGCCTAATCTCTTTAGGGCTAAGAATCAAATGGTCGAATGAGCTGGAAACCCCTTTAGCATTACTAGTATAAGGTCAACATGTTGACCTCATCAGCTAAGGAATAGAGCCTTATGTTATCGAACTATGTAGTGTGTATGGGAGGGGGTACTAATATCCAATGCAAAGTGCAACATGGCACCCATGTTAGCTGCTCCACATTTTCACATGAGGTTCTAGAAGCCATCAGCTTCTGAAGGGCTTCCTGCGTTTGGAAATGCACGACCTGTTGGATATAACCAACCACCACAAATCGTTCCATGGCAGCAATTTTAAATATTATGTTAAAAGTTTAAAATGGTTATTATGTGTTTGAATATGTTCTACTGATTTTATTGATTTCTGTAATTTCAAATTACTATACCATATTGTCAAAATCTACCCAGAAGCTACCTAGTGCCTTTTTTTACTTTTTCCGAAAAGCTATGGCTCAAAAAGAAATTCGAGCCAGCAATAAAACACAATTTGTAAGTAATGTAACATTACACCAAATATACAGGTTGCACAGTATTTTATAACTTCATACTTCAATCCAGGTCATTATTGTAATAGTTTATACATATCTCGCCACGCATGTGTTGATAGACGCATGTAGCGTGTACCAATACAAGTAAACATTAATTACGATACTAGGTTTCAATCTATGAAATGTTGTGTTACTTTGTCTTTCTTGCATATAGGGTGATTACGAAGCTGCTTTGAGTCTGTATGATGAATATGTAAGTAATTATTCTGACACAAGGTATTCCATATGTAGAAGATCACAGTAGCCACTAAATTGCTTAAATTGTTTGTAACCGGAACCACCACCCCGACCTTCACCGCACCCGATCAATGGTAAACTGATACGTAGTACCTATACGGCACAATATTCAGTCTCACCATTATCATCAGGGATTATGTGTTCGACTCCCATGGCTGGGTGCAAACAAGGATATTCTAGCCTCTTACCATAACCACGGCATTCGTAACCGAGAGAATGGCTTTAATGGGACGTAAATCTTCGGTTCCGTGTGCTGTCCCTCTCCTCAGTGCACGCTGTACTTGTGGCAAAGTGCAGAGGTTCCCGCGGAATAACTGACGTATTTCTATCATTACTTGTGAATACTTGAGTTGTTCTGTTTTGTCCATCATTTCCGTGTTAGTAATTGGGCTTCAGCCAGTTGACAGGCAATGATAGTATGAATTTGTAATATGCATCTTCAATCCAAAACTAGTTGCTAAATAAATAAATAAATACTTATATTAAACTGTTCAACAATGCAATCGTCTATCAAACTAATCTATTGACGGTCATGTTTCATCAAGATTCCTCCATTCAAACTATGGTGGAAATAATGGGCCACCGTGAATACGCGACAGCAACACGCCTCAGCTGTTGGCGTATAATTAGTGTCATATTTATCTTCTTGTAAAAGGTTGGCTCTAAGGTAGACAGTGGGGTTATGTTAGATATCTCAGATGCAGCCTCTTTCCTCCAACGCTTAGAATATGAAGGTTAGTACATACACAGTTGCAGAGTACACAGTGACTGAATCTATACACGCATGAAACTGTTGAGCCTGCCAATGAAAGTATAATTTATTAAATTAATTAATTAAGAGTCTATATACTTATAATTTCTGTGTTCGTGAATTTATCAATTCTAGATCAATAACATTTTATAGACTATCGTTTTTATCTCTAAATTTGTAAATATTGTGCAGTGTTATTTTATTCAATATGATATATTTCATAACTGAAAGTTAATATTCTACTTAAGGTGTCAATGTCGGGCCAAGATGGATGAAAGTGTTTAATTTTAGTAAGACTCACGTGGATGATCAAGCTTTGGTCTTCAATGATCTTCACTTCATGATGGCCGCACTGGGAGCAAAACAACAAAGGATTGCAAATGAGCTATTTGAATCAATACGGAATTTTGTGAGGTGAAAATCCGTAATATTAAGTTTAAAGTAATATGATATAACGAATGTCGAACACGTGTGTCAATGTTGATATGAATCATGTACTTACTTAAACAACTAGTTACACCATTGCTTATTTTGGGGAAATCATACTTTTAGAGCCCAGTCATCTACGCTTGTTCTCATTTCTCCAATTCCATACTTCAGTGCATTAATTCTTGAATAAATGACTATATTCTGGTGTTAACGAGTATACTATTTTCTACTTTTCGGGTATGATGCACCATATAGGTAGATGCCCAACATTGTTTAAAAGGAATGATTTTGTTGTTTCTTAGGAGCTCGAGTAGTGACCACACCGTCGCCAAAACATTCGAGGAAGTAGGAATACCGATTTGTGAATCACTAAATGCCTATCACTGTGGTGATTTTGCTAAGGTGGTTAACACGTATAATCCAGTGAGATACAATACACGACAAATTACTGGAAGTGACGCACAGGTACAATGTATTCCAATAATTATATTCCGAGTAGTGTAATGGTTATTTCACTGTGTTAAGAGAGGTTACTATATTGATCAACGTTACATAGATGCCACAAAATATATCAATATAATTACTCAAACACTGTCTGTGATAGTGAATTTAATTCGATTTATTTGGCGTGGTAGATTTTGCAATTTTCTCATCCATTTATTAAATTAGCATAGTGTTTAATATTATTGAATACTTCTCACATTGACACCAAAGATTGTCTATTTGATGTTAAGGTACGTTTTCTTTACTCAGAGAGATGTTTTTAACTTGCTGCTTATTCATTCCGCATTGAAGTCGCCAGAAATGGATCATAAACTACTTGCAAGGTACTTGCTCTATTTTTTTTTATCTTTACAAAATTATATTATTGACGTGATCCTCCCCTCATCATGTGACATATAGATCGGTAATAACAATGATGAAAGACCCATGTCATTGGACGAATTGTCGATGCTATGTAAAATGATGTGAAGTCGTACTAACCGAGTATCCAATGGGACGTCAGTGCGAAGCTACTTAGTATACATATATTTGTCCGATTGGCTACCGAAACCTAACACCTAACGTCCAATCAGAGGCAGCTTGAAAATTGAAAGTTTGACGCTTAGAATTCTGCTGTCGACTTAACTAACAATCAACTCTAAATTGAATATAGTGGTGTGGAGAATTCAATTATTTTACTTTATTATATGCCGTCAGTGTGTTGGGAGACTTACCACATTTTACGCCCAAAACGCGACTAGATTCGCAACGCCAATCATGATTCACGTGTATTAATCTACGCCAAGGAAACGCGTTTACAGATGATGCACTGCCATTTGAAGTAATTTTAGTAGTTTGTCGGTCTGTTAATAATGTTTAAAGTGAATTGTGTGTTTCCTAATCATTGTACTTTTCAATTTATAGGAGCCTACTGTATGAACGAGACGCGTTTAAACCCGGATCGCCGATGACTGCAAGGCTCTTGGAAAAAGCTACTGCCGAGAGTCCTGAATGAAATTTCTTATACTATGCTTGACCCTCGACCCTTGCTAAACGCAAGACTATTGCTTTGATCAGTTTTCCAGACACCATCAATAAACCGTTATATAAAATGTGATCACACTTTGTTAATGTTTTTTTTTTTATGATATTGTGTATATTACATAAACGTACGTACTATCGTGTGTTTTCAACACGTTTTGATAGGCTACATTTTTATTTACTTTTCGATGAGGCAGACTGACATGTATTCTATTACTTGTTTTGTTTAACTAATTATCATGCATAAAAATGTACTATATATATTAAATTGTTTTGTATAGAATCATGTTATCTGGTGCGAAAATTGTGTTATGGTGTACATTTTTCAAATTATGATGTGCGATTTTGTGATGGGGTGTACAATATTCTTCAATATATTGGCAGTATCAGGCAGACACATGGGCGTAGACACAACATGAATCAAACTGTCAAATTGAAAGTCAGACTTGTGTAATAATACGATCAATTAATATAATGACGAGCCCATGCAGCATAATATGAGTATGTACACACAATCTATCGGTCATCAACCTTCATATATACAGATGCAGTTTAATCAGGTCCTGTGTCTATTTTTATCATTAACCAGGTTCAACACATTCGAGTGAATGCGATATATGTTCTGTGCGTGTTTTAGTTTGGATATTCTCAATTTCAAGGTATAGATTTAAATAATACAGTAACTCACTATCCCAGAATATATTGCCCAAAGACTTCTTGGAATTTGTGAAAATGTGTTGATACCGTAGTAAAAACATTGGATTTCCTAAATAACAAATTCGCATAAGGGACTGTTCTTAAGAAAAATGTGCTTTCATTTCACCTCGATTACTAATGCAATACAATCTTTTAAATAGGGACACATTGGTCATAATGTTAATTACCATTTTGAAAATAAAAATTGTGGTACCTCAGTGTTTTTAGATCTCAAATAACAAGTGATAGCATATGTTATGTCTCAAGCAATGTTGGTTCATTTTAGTGATCCCATTTTTTAAATTTAATTTTTTGTTACTCAGACCATTTGTAGCTGCAGTTTTTGTGTAATGAGTATGGCAATGCCTAACTTTCCTAAATCTGGTGTGCCATTCCCAGCAAGTCAGCAAAGTTTAGATACAGGCTAACAAACATATAAATTAGAACACACAAACAGGCTCCGGACTTGCCAACACCTTACCACTGTTAGCAGACCTTCTCTCAACTTTTCCACATTGACTTTGAACAAAAACGACTGTTATATTTGTAAAACAATAAATTGATTGACAAAATTCATGTACATATATGTAATGTTTTGTTTCAGATTGCTAAACAAGACTATTGCTGCGATTAGATTTCCAGAGAACATCAATAAACCGTTATATATTATGTGATCACTCTTTGTTAATGGTCTTTGTCTGATGATATTGTGTGTATTACATAGTGGACAGGTATATAAATAATATTATTATTATAAAATAGACTAAGTCTTTTAAAACGTACTATGACATTTATGAGAAAGAGAAATGGAGAATGTCAAATTGAGATGCATATGCAACCCATAATGTGTCGCATTTGTACCAAATTTAGACAAAATTAGACACGTGTGTCGGAGATAGGACTGAAAAACAAAACAAAATTGCTACCAGTTAAATTTCACCGAAACCCAAAACGAGTATAGGGAATATGCAAGCCACTGTGTTTTGCCTTAGTATCACATTTAAACAAAACTGGGAATGTGTCAGAAAATAGACAGCAACATTCAAAAGCAAAAACAAAAGACGACATTACCTCTTTCCCTTTTATTAGGTTTGAGCATCAGTGAACAACATATTTAAAAGAAATAAATAAAAAAAAACCACGGCCGCCAATTTATATCCAATTGCAAACCAATATTACTCGCATCAGTCGCCTGTCATACAAAATTTTAACTGTGTGACAAACGGTTAGAGGACAAAATGGCTGCCAGTCAGTCAAACTAAACAAAATAAAGCAAAAAAAACAATGATGAGCATATGTATATCTTTATCTTCTGTCTTTATATCAACTTTAACAAATTTGGTCAAGATATGATGAAAGCACAAGGGGCCATTTCCCAGAACCTAGGTCTCGCATGACTGCCAAAGATAAAAACAGAATTGTAATGATACAATATAATAGTAAAACTTATAACATTATATAACCATCATTTGTGAGTTAACCAAATATCCCGCTGTTGTATTGAGTGCGCTGTTCTTTCGGCTGTCTTTATACTGTCAACATGTGACACCATATGACTATTCTGCAAGTACCATTGTATTCAATTTTTCCAATAGCCTGTCCGTCATTGGTGAGCCCGTCTTCATTGCATTCCGTTCATTTAGAAGACTTCTATAATTTGCAGAAATCAATACTTCAATATATGCTAGGAGCAAGGTAGCCACGGGACTTGTTCTTATGCTTAGAGTTTTCCATTTTCCCGATCAACCCGATCAACACGTACAAGCCAAATGTCACTATAACATAGCTCAATGAAAGCGATCAATCAAAAGGGATAATGAAAACTGGGATACATTTAAGGAGCAAACGTGTGGTTGTCTTGTTCTCACAATATCTTGGCGTCTATCAGCGTATAACGCCTGTTCAGGAACAAAGATGTAATAGTTCTATATTTATAAACAAATATGTTATATTCTCTATGTTAATTGGTGATCAAAACGCATCTCTACAATAAGGAAATTAACACACATGTTCTCATACCTAGCAAAACGTTGGTGGTCTCTGCGCGTTGATTTTATTGCAGACTGAATTAATAATATACTGAAGATGTCTCTCTGGGAATAAATAAAAAACAAGATTGTTTATCTGAATATAAAAAACTGCAATAAATTTGTTTTCTGTGATTCACAAATAACTCGAACAAATATATGATTCATATTGACACGAATTAGTATGTATAATTCACAAAAGATTGACATCATACGCAATGATCAGCGCAGTGGTAACTAAAATATTATCATCTAATCTGAAGTATACGAGTTCCGTTTCAATAGTGCAATGCCGAACCCAGGGCTAAACACTGACCTAACTGTTAAGGATTAACAGGATAATCCAATGTGCTATATAAAAATGATTATCTTTTCGGACCAGGTAACATATCGCAGTCGGTTTAACCCTTTTGTTCTCCTTGTTGCTGTGTACAACACTTCGCATTATTTATAATGTATTAAAAACTTATGATATTTGTGTTTGACTTGTTTTCTGGTAAGCGACAATGTTCATAAATGGCGTGCGATTAAACATTAGTACCTGTGGGTTACTTCCAGAAATATTGTGTATATTATATCTTACGGGGTTAAGAATATCTACAACGTCAGCAAAATCACCATGATGGTACGCAGTCAACGATTCACAAATAGATATCCCAACGTCTGAGAAAGCTTTCGCTATCGTATGATCTTCTCTCTTACTCCTGAAAAAAAAATGTTTAAAATTAAATTTTATTGACCTATACCTTAACACACACACGATATTGGCCATACTGTTTAGGATTTTGGTAAACGACAAAAAAACAAATAGTTATAATGTATACTTTGTCTTTTGCTTTTGAGTAACTCAAAATATCACCAGCCATATTACCCTATATAAACTATGTGTTTGAATGAACACCGTTTTCCAGTATACAGGCTTCAATAATAACAAAAACAATTTTATATTTACAATCATGAAGGAAAATTAAGATTTATAATCTCCATATACATACGTGAGTGATTGACAATCTTCATATGAATACAAATGTATTACTTAATAATGTAAATTCACTACAATGAATAGTATTTGCCTTGCAATCTGAATATGATTAACAGTGGTGTAGAATAATTAAGCGATTAGACTGGTGGATTAAAATAGTCATGAGCAATATTTGATTGTCAGATGCAGATGTCAGATATATATATACAAGTGTGTGGTTTGCAATCTCCATATATACATTCAAGTGTGTATTTTAGAATCTCCATATAGATACAAGTGTGTGTGGTTTGCAATCTCTATATAAATACAAGTGTGGTTTGCAATCTCCATATAAATACAAGTGTGTATTTCACAATCACAATATAAATACAAGTGTGTATTTTACAATCTCAATATACATACAATTGTGTATTTTACAATCAACATATATATACAAGTGTGTAGTTTACAATCTCCATATAAATACAAGTCGTGGTTTACAATGTCCTTATAGATGTGGTAAGTGTGTGGTTCATAAAATATCAATACATGAAAATGGTTAGTTTATGGAAAATTTATATATGAATGCACACTTGTTGAGTACAAATGTGAATGCACAATCTTCGGATTAGTACTATGTTGTTCCCAATCTTCTCACGTAAGGTATTACAATTACAGATGAATACAAGTATGTGCTATACAGTATGTGAATGTATATGTGTGTCTTAAAATCACCAGGGTAATACGCGTATGTAATATGTAATAATACCTTACAAAATGCTTTATTGATTGAAGAAAATTGGCAGCGGCTTCATCTTGTTTTGCTCCCAGGGCAACCATCATATACAATACGTCATTGTACACTAGCGCATGGTCGTTGAAATGAGGTTGACATAAACTATAGACTTTCTTCCATCTATTTCCGACATCAACACCTAGTTCAATGTAGCAAAATTACCAGATGAATAATGTAGAAAACAAAAGCTAGAGTTCCCAAAAATACTATAGAAATTGAAGCTATGTAACTACAGCTATGAGATAACTCAGGGGGAAGATTATTTCCGTACGATAAATACATCAAATGCGTCGATACATAAAAACTGTATAAGTAAAATGCACCTTCGAACTCTAGTCGTTGAAGAAGCATCACTAGATCCAAGATGTCAAATCTTGTACCAGAGCCTAATCGACAAGTCGCCTTCCATTTGCGAATATATAGGGATGTTACAAAATGTTACAAATGTTAGTTAGAAATATACTTTGTATCTTGATTTATTTCTATGGAATAAGTATATTTGCAAGGAAAAAAATGTCGATGTGAGAACGGAGGCATGTTATTCGCACTTACGATCTCGTCATACAAGTCCAATGCAGATGCATAATCACCCTGTAGAAAATAAACAAAATGCATGAACATTAAGCATTGGTTAAGGCGTTGGATTCAATTTTGTGCGTATATATTTTTTTCATGACGGATGTTAAATATTGTTATTCACATCTTACTTTTTCAATGTAATAAAGGCTCAAGTGCCAATAGATGTGACCATGGTAGCAATGTTTCTGTAAAAAAACAACAACAACGTGGTGAAAGTATGGCCACTTCTGTTTTTGTTTTTTTCATATTCAAAATTATTAGCCTCACTTCATACTGTTGACAGTTCTGTACAAGTTATATTACAAATGTATATAAGATGTAAGATCAATGAAATATACACATTTGTATATGTTTTACAACGGGTAGTATTTGTGTGTCGCATATTTAGTTCGTCCTTTAATTAGCTCTAGGAGTTATGGTGCTCTAGGTTTGAAATGTTGGCACTTTATTCGCGAGATGCTGTTTGTACTTTCAGTATATTTCACTTGTGATAGACTCCTAAACATGGTGTTGCACCACACTGGCCATGTTATCCTGCGTTTATGCCTAAATTGATTTGGACGAAAAACTAGCTCATAAAAAACAATGTAACCAAGATAGTGAAGATGCGATTGTCAAAGATTATTATGTTGATAGTATTATCTATACAATTTCAGCAAAACTTCCGGATAATCGTTTGTAAAAGCATAACATATTGGTGTAATATGTTCACTTGGCCCATAATTCCACTAGATTTTACTATATACACAATATGAGCAATTCTATGTTTTATGACCAAACTATTTCAAACAAATTTGTAGGGATATTGTAAATAAATCCAAATACCTGATATTGATTAACTGATGTTTTCAAATAGTGTATACCTTCATCATATCTACACTGCATTTCCATTACATGTGCTATTACATGGGTTGCCCAACCATCACACGCGTTCAACTCCAATGCCTAAGGGAAGAAAAAAAACAACATGTACAGATTGAATATTGTTCAATATCATCTTCAAATAAAAAAACGAATGCACATGTTATTATAGTTTAAAACGCAATCATTTTAGCAATACATACCTGGCGGGCCTCTGTTTCTGCTTCATTGAAAAGATATGTTTCTTCTAATCCAAAAGCGTATGTACTTTTCAAATACCTGACAGTAAACGAACTCACAGATAATATATTCATATAGAAATCAAGCTTATATATACTGTGATAATTTTAAGTGATGTGTAAATGAAAAGCACAAATGTTATGACAACAACCCATTGCACATGATTTGGGATACATGCATCCCGTCTACCCGTGGCGTAATGGTATGTCTCAAGCAGTTGCATGGTGATTGTGAAATACATTGGAATGTGCTAAACCCAGTGCTGTTGGCAATGAAAATAGATATTACATCATTAACCTGAGTTTCCTAATTTACATTGGTGGAGATTGGATAAAGGTGGTTGGCATCACCTATAAACTGATTTGTCTGATATCTCGAGAACATTTTATTGTTTGCATGGCCATAATTGTAGTATTTAGGTTGAAACATGTGTGAAAACCTTTAGTCAGGAAGGTGATCTGACTTAATCCTGTAATATCCTGTAACGCTGATTCCTGGCCCAGTGAGGTTACCCTATACAGGGGTACATATGCAGACGTGTTCTGCAGTAATCCCTGCCAATCAACAGGAACCGCTGAAGCTCAGTTCCTGAAATACACAGTAGCAGCTGATAGCAGTGCAGTTGCTTATACTCCCTGGACACAGAGCACGAGTTTCAATTGTAATGGAGCTGCTTGGACAGTGTGCCAAAAACGAAGGAACGCAACATTGTACATTTGCGTTCATTGAGAGTGGAGTGTTCCTAGCAACATAGATCAAGTCTAGGATTTTATTTGTTTACTGTGTATCGCCATTCCTTGCTGATTCAATTGACTAGCTTGATTTCTAAATAAGGAATGTGCAAAAAAATCTTCATTTTGTTGATTCTAGTAAAACATTTGTGACATGACCCTAACAATATACTTTTGGCATAATGCCAATTAAAAAATGACACTTGTACTTGTATTGTAACAATGCTCTTTGCTAAACTTTGATGATATGGCATTTAATTGGGATAAATGTTTTAGATTATGAAGCTAATTACAAAGCCTGAGAGTGTATGCTTCCAGCTGTGATTGTTGTCTAATCAGTTCTGGATTGAAATGAGAAAGGTAAGAATGTCTAATATATTCCATCTTACCAAGTTTGATGATGTGATATTATTAGGTTGTCATATGTCATGTCATATATCAGCAAATAATAATACATTTGCCAAACCGTGTTGTTGGAGCTTGTGCTTCATATCAAGTCTTACCTGACATTACCAGCTCACAAGCCTTTATTTGCGGAATATGACTGAGCGTATTCTGGTATAGATGTTCAAGACAATTGTTGGATATTGCAGTCACAAAAATTAAAACTCAGTAGTTATTATTCTAACACCATGTGAATATATTCTTCGTGCAGATGAGAAGCACTTACTCCATGATGTCAAAAGAAATAGTTATGATTGGCAGACTGATTCTGACATGATGGAAGAACTCCCAAAGCCTAGAACCCAAAAAAACTTAAATTGGACTCGAGGACATTCAGACGTACGACAGCTGTAAAATTAAAAAGCTAAAACCAATCATGTCCAACTGAATACAATGGTGTATATTAGCCAGGAACGTATGCACTGTAACTGAGACAACTCATTTATTGGCAGGACATTTGTTATGTGTGCAATACAATATAGTGTTATGTGAAATATATTTTGTATAGCATCTTCACTTCTTTAGCATTGCATATAATAAAACAATTCTCAATAAAATGATTTTAAGCATCTATTGGAACATTCATTATTATGTCACAGAAGTTTGAATGGTCAGCAAGATACCGGAGATGGAGAGTGCCAGAAGGGTGCCGTACATGTTGCTCAAGATGGTGAGTGCTAGCAAGATACTGTCAATACCGTTGGAGGTGGTGAGTGCCAGCAAGGTACTGTAAATGTTGCTGGAGGTGGCGAGTGCAAGCAAGATACTGTAAATATCCAATTATACTACCCCATGAATCTAGGGAACATATCTAAATGTTACCATGTTATATCACTTTTTGCTGAAATGTGTTTCAGTGTGAAATCCCTATCTGAATTATCTTTTTATAGATTTCTTTATGCTGTTGGCAACCCTACCATATAAAAATACAGATCAAGATCCAACAATTTACTTGTTTATTAAAGAGACAGAAACCTCATATATTGTGTTGTTGTTATTTATTGTACTCGTTATCGCTATATTTTCCCCCTGTACTGCCTCAGTTGTGATGAGAGACTTCCATCTAACGATCCCCCACCTCGTGACAGTAGACGAGCTAAATGGAGAAGACTTATAAGATAAGCACGTTATAGTACCAGAGACGTCTATTATTAGACCTGTATTGAAGATAATCTACGAGCTCTTAAATATGGAGTAGCTCCAAAAATTCCCCCTCGCATTTTTTGAATTTAGATAAAAGAACCTCACTTCAATTTTCGGCCCAATAAGAATAAAAAATAAGTCTCTTCGGATTACTAGCATCAATTTCCGAAGATGTTCCTCTCACGTATTGCATTATAATATATTACACAAAAATATGGTATTCTGTCGTGGCTTTGTTTACCGACGCTTTGTGACAGACCAACGAATGTTATAGCTTACACGTACGATGTGCAAAATAGTTATTGTGAAAATAACAGTATAGTCAAGTGCTCATGATTATTGGAAGCACATGAAATTACAATTATTAAGAACTTGTTCTGAACTTACCCATACATACTTTGAGAGACCTTTTTCGATTCCCAATATGGTTTAACACGCGCAATGCAGTCTCTGTATTGTGTCATTTTGCCACAGAAGAAATAACTATCAACAGCAAATCGCAAAGCCAGGGCATCGGTCGGGTGACGTAGTAAAATATCTTCCCACGTGTTGATTGCCTCTCTGAGATAGCTACGAAACATGTAACAAGTTTACTAATGTGGCATAGTGCCCATGCAAAGTAAAAATAAGTACGAACAACTTCAATAAATTAGTTTATTCAATATAACAATTAAGTTTGAACTTACTAACCCTTCCGAAAACAGTTTAACTGCGTTAACGTGTAACTTTTCTTTCCATGTCAGAATATTATTGTTCTTTGCTATTTGTACCATTGATTCAATGTCGTGTTTTAGCTCAGCGTTATTCCAGGTTGATGTCATCGTACCAAGTAATTTAAGTCCATTTGACACAGCTAATCCGAGAACTGAAAGTGTAAATTAGGGTATAAATATATTAGTCAAAACAAATCAATCGTAATTTTTCCAATATGAATATGTTTGACTAAAACATTTAATCTGAATATAATTAAAAAAAAATAACTTCATTATTAATTATAGATGATATACTACATCTTATTGTCATTACGCAATATATTTCGATTCCATACATATATGTCCTCACCGAAATTAGGGTCAGCCGCTCTCATTTTATCCACGGCACCAGCCATTCCACCAACACTGTCTTCTGAAAACCCACTTACGTACTAAATGCAAACCATACATAATTGGAAGGACTAGAATGTGACAAAGTGAATTACAATACTCTCGAAGTGTCGCATCTCTTTATGAACGTCACAATGAACAAAATAATGAATCTAGAAAAGTATCTTAGTCATCACATATAATAAATAATTATCTTTCATTGGAATTTTATTAATCGACATTTTAGCCTACCTGTGTCACAACAGCATTATACATTTTATCCTACCTGTGTCACAACGGTGTCATACAATTGTATCATATCTGTGTGGCAACGGCATCATATATTTTAGCAACGGCATCATATATTTTAGCCTACCTGTGTTACAGTGGCGTCATACATTTTAACTTACCTGTGTCACAGCGGCGTCATACATTTTTGCAGCTTCATTGCTGGTAGTTGACAAACGAAGTCCCACATTTGCCCATTCCTGAAACAACATACAAGATTGAATATATGCGTCCATGTTCATTAATGTATTTTTCCCACCATTAATGCTGTATTACCACCAAAAAATACTGGACAATTCTATCCAAACCACCGTCAAGTAAAATAAATTATTATACATCTGTCACCGTAACGCCATAATTTACAGCGTGTCGTAATTTTGACGTATTGCACTGGGTATTTTCATTCTATCATATAAAGAAACGCGAATTCCAAATATAGAACGATTACACGTGTAAGCGTTCTCTAATAATAAAAATCAAACATGGCTGCCTCCAGGGTTTGACCGGACCGCACACAAAGAAGTTTGCTAAATCTGTTCTAAACGTTTTATAGTTCTGCATTACCATGATGTATTCCTGGGAGGAAGAGATGTATAATAATAAGGTTATTATGAGGATACTGCAAAGTATACACTCAGACAGTACGCGATCGCATCGACATCCGCTGCGCGTCGGTCGATAATGCCGTTGTACTTTTTTCGTGCATACTATGTAGTATCCTTGTAATAACTTTATATTATGCTAAATGTATGTTAATAAAAAAATGGCGCCGTCGGTTTTTGTCTTTTTATAACAAGCTTGACACATGATGATAATCTATGCAAATGTAGTACAATAAAATCATAACACACATCACCACCATCTACCTGAGTTACTTAATTAATATAATTTGAAAAACAAATCAAGTGATATAATGTACCAAACAATAACCACCAACATGATATTTTGCCATATGTTTAGCTAAGATGTGATTCGATTGCTTTAATACTGAAACTAGCCTGATATTATTATTTTTGTTATATATATCATTTTATTTTTATAATAAACGTGTTATTTATATCATTAGATATTCATTATTTTACATTTATTCATTTAATTATTTATTATCATTAAAGGGAAACCGCTTAATCAAAAGGATAGCACCAAGTGCTCATGGATAATTTCAATTCCGCCTCCGTTCACTGTGTTAACTAATGCTTATTGTTGCACATTGTGTCATTGATCTCCTGTTCTGAAGTATTCTGAAATATGATAAATCTAATAATCATCGCAGCCTGTACGTGAATGGCTGCTAGCCACAGACATGCGGTCGGTCAGTACGATGTTTACCTGTCCGATTGTACGGCTGGTGGACCTATTGCCTGTGTTGTCGATCACTACCTTGTGTATTGTAATATAAACCACAGACACGTCAATGCGCCAGAGTCTATAAACCACAACCTAAGTACCACCAAAATAAACCCTGGTAGCCAGAACAAAAATTCAACTTTTCCTGTCTCTGGAAATGTTGGTTCATGGTCCAATTCCAATCGCTTCTCAATTGGATTTGACGTAATAACGTTTTGATCAGTCAGTGAATATAGTGAACTCGCGAGTAAATAATGCGTTTTCCAAATTTTTCCAGTTTTCGTGGTAGTACAAATTCTGTAATCGCGATTCTTTGTCGTTTATTTAATGCTCTATTTGGGATCACATTTATTTGTTTAAAAAGTGTTCCTTTTCCTTCTAATTGACATCCTCAACCGTTAATATATATAGAAACAACAAGTAATTTAAATTAAATGCGTATTGCGAGTATCATGTTGTGACTAGCTACTTGTAAAAAGATGTTAATATAAAATATTAGAACCGGTCACCCGCCGCCAAATGAAAAGAACGTACAGACAATTCACAGTTTTAAATTTCCGTGTTTACGGTTATTTTCTTTTCCGGAACGAACGCTCTCCCCCATTTGTGTCAGCGATGTCAACAAGCGCTTTAATATGGAGTGATGCGTATCATAACTAAGGATATCTTTATTTATTTCCGTCGAAAATACAATCCAATTAATTATTCAATTATTAAGTTTAAACCCCTGAACCCTCAAATCACCTTTCACTTAATAAGCCGACGTAATTTGTTTTCCAAAATGTTGTTCAAGACCTTTAACCAATGCAAAACAAATGCCCGTTTGGTCCAGCGTTGACTCGAATGAACATATTAGTAACTCAAACGCGCGTCAATTATACAGATTGGTATGTGTGAATATGAATTCGTAAAACGTGCCAGTAATAAGGTTGTGAACTATTCATAATTTCTGCAAATACACTGTGAGCGGTCTAGAGTGTGTACGCACTGGCTGCGAACATAAATGCAGCTTCAACGATCCTTGATCCATGTGAAATCGTGTATTACGCATGTATACCAAGCAAGCATATACAACTATGTAATATATGTATATATAAGCTAATTTACCTTACAATCCTTCCAGTTCATAATGTCTTACTAGTATGACATGATTTGGTAGAATGTAGGTGCGTGTATTCCGTTCATAAAATATAGGCGTATAACAATTTACAAGGAATGATTTATGTATCCCTACCATGAAAATAGCGTAATGCTAAATTTGTCCGGGTTTTACAATTTGTAACTAATAATAACGTTACGTATTTTTACATATTCATAAATTAAAAACAGGAGTGCATAAGCTGGTTGGTTTCCCACCGATTCCACAAAATTGGATAAAAATATGAGCACGTTTACTCGATATTGTTTAATGCTAGTCAATTTTGTCGCTGATCCACGAGGTCGGATTTATTGAATTTATATATACATTACATGGTGGAATACGTCACACTGTGACGACTATAATATGGGTTAAATGCAACGTATACAGTGTATGTGAACACTGGTTCATGATAATCAAATTCAAGTCCTTAAGCGTGTTAGATATGACCCAAAACTCCAATTTTCTGCCTTCAGATATTGTGATTACATAAAAAAATTGCCAAATTAATCAACAGCGCAAACAAATAAAAATTTAGGTATGAATGCTTTATAGAATAGAAGGATCCTACACCAGCAACGCTGATGCCTGGTTTGGTTGTTTACTCCGAAAATATTTTGCTTACTTTTTGACAACTCAATAAAATGAAGAATAAATCGGCAATTTGGTTTTAATTTTAAGTATGTGCTACAATGGCACATATATTGATACGCTAATGAAATTTACACTATCAAATATTAAATATAACTGTAAGATTTTTATTACATGCCGTAACATATATAATACAGGGTTTATATCTTAATGTTTAAAGGTAATTCTTATTGGTGAAAAGGGTACATTTTTCATAAGCAGTAACAATGTTTGGCAGTGC